GCTCTATAATCACATCTTCTACGGACTGCATTTGTACTATTTTGTGGTGGGAAAAAAAAGGCAGAAGGAGGATGATAAATCCTCCTTCTTTACTGGATAGTTAATTTATAATGCCTATAAGCATCGCAAAGACAAGATCCAAAGCATTATTTAATAGATGAACTAGATGAATAAGAAGAATTTTTATTCCAAAAATACAAGTCTGAAATATTTGAATGTGCTTTGGGAAGTCAGGTGACATTCTGAAATGAAGATACTGGAAAAAAAAAAAGAAGAAGACAACGACGACATTTTATTTCTCTGCCTGTTTAGAAACTTCAGAATTTTTAATTAATTTATCTTATCTTATCTTTAAAGTAGATAGATTTGTTTCAGGGATGCTTTTATGGAATTATAAAATTAAATATAATTTAACATAGATGAAATTAAAAGCTAAAATTAAACATCCATATTTGGTATGATGGGAGAGATTGAGAATGCTAGATGTCAAGTCTTTCATTGCTGGGGTGGTATCAAGATCAGAGTCAGAGATGTGCCCTTCAACTTGGAATACCAGAGCTAGCAAAAAGGGACGGATCCTCTTTATCATCTCAGTCAGTCAGTTCTGGGACAAAGCCTACATTTAAAATTGAAGCAAAATTTTCTATTTAACTACATTTTAAAATTTACACAAGACTTTGGGCTTCAGAAAGTCACATCAGTTCAGTGGGGTTCCTAACTTAGTGCTATATGGCAAGCAATGGAGCCTTTTGAAGAGGCCATTCTAGATCAACATGTCATATCACCATTGTTGGGATGTGGTTTTCCTTTATTTGTCACACAGTCTTCCAGTGTCCTCCAATGCCTGAATTCTCCCACAATTGTGATTTATGCACTTGAATGAGCATCTACTTTCTCAGGCTAAAGAAGAGGTTTAGTAAGCTGTTCTTCCAGCTCTGAAAACAAGGACTTCCCACGTTTTTATTCATATAAGACGTCTCCTCTGCTCACGTGGAGAATGAATGGTCATGTGCTCATGTTCTGCTCTGCTTCCCTCCTCTTGGTTCCATTCCAAATCATGTCCCCTATTTCTTCTTCTATCATAAAACTTATTAAGTTGGAATGAACCCTCACTACCTCTGATGCATCAGGTCCTCCTTCTTTCCCTATCAGCTGTAAAGAGGTTTCCCATACCTTCCACTCTACGGTCATGGTTTGCAAATTGTGGTCCTGGACCAGTGACATCTGCATCAGTTGAGATCTGGGTAGAAATGCAAATTATCAACCTATACTTTAAATCTATTGAATCATAAATTCTGGATATGGATCCAGTGATCTGTTTTTAAAAGTCCTCTTATAATCCTGACGCACAATGAGAAAAACCTCTATGGAGACAGCTATCATGGAGATAATCAACATTTTCTAAATTTCCCTAGTAGAATCTCAGCTCTCATCATTCAGAAGCTGAAGACTGCACTTCCTTATGGAAACTCATTCCTGGTGCCTTTGATACTGCCCATTCTTTGTTCTCCTACTATTCTCAAATTGTTCTTTCTCAACCTCCTCTCTCCTCTGGTTCCCTTAACATAGTCTTGCCAAGGAATTGCTATCTTCATTCTTTAAATCCATTACCAGGAAATTCCATACCCTCCTCTGGCTAAGGTCATGACTTCAATGCCACTGATTTCCAAATTAGATTCTTCTTGCTTTGACTGCTTTGCCATCAGTTCCAATGGCCTCCAGGACACGAGCGCATCAAAGACCTTCTGTGAGTTATAATGCAGAATTACTAAAAGAAAAAATCACCATCTTCCTTACCACATCTCCATTTCTGATGGATTTCCATTCTTAATGTTACCTTCAAGAATATTTTCATAATCACTTAACTGTGAAAACCCCCTTCTTCCCAACTTTCAATGTTTCAACGCTGGCTAGGTGCTAAAATCTTTTGCCTATAATGTTACAGTCTCACTCACATCTTTTGCATTTTTTTGCTCTGTAGACTAATTTTTGTCTCCAGTTTTGACAGAACTATGATCAAAGAGAAGAAAAGCCAGAGAGATAAAAATTGTGGCTTTGTTTAAGGAAGAACTTTCTGACTCTCAGAACTGCTCGTGGATGGCTAGGAGAATCCCCATCTCCAGAGATGTTCAAACATGGACTGATGAGTGACTGGGCTTGAAGACATTGACATTCCATAAAACTTCGAGATTCTGTTTCTTGTTATCACCATTTCCTTTCAAGCACTCATTTTCTATTCATCCCTCTCTCATTGTTTAGGCAAATGTTTCCGTTCTAAGTGTATCTGACACTTTAGGCAGATGTGGTTTTTCTATGCTTCTTTTATGATTTCTTTTCTCTCTACTCCATTTCTCATGCATGCATATGGAGATTCATGAATTCATTCACCCCACCTACTACATTTGAGGTATAGAAAATATAGAATTGAATGACCATCCTTGCCTTTAAAAACCATCTAAATGGGGAGATGGATTCCACATCATAGAGTACAGCACAAGGTGGTGATGGGAACATTGGGTGCCAATGGGACAACAGAAAAGAGGGATCATATACTCTGGTTAAAAATCCCAAATGCACAGACAGAGTTTTGAGGACAGAGTAGATGCTACTTTAGTGAACAAGTTGGGAAAGGGCTACCAAGAAGCACCATATAAGCAAAGATATGTAAACCCTAGTAAGCATAATATCTTTGGAAACTATGAGTAGTTAAGAGTGGTGGGAAGGAAACTATGGGTGAAGGCAATTTATCAAGTGCTGTGTTTAAGTAAGTCTTTTCAGTTTATTTTCATTACTGTAGAGCAACCACCATGAGATTAGATCAGATTTGCTACTTGAGGAAGATGACTACAGTTTGGAAGAGGGTCAGAACAGAAGCAGGAATATAAATCAATGTGAAATAGGCAATGGTAGTGGGAATGAAGGGTGATGAATGGATTTGAGAAGTTTTCTTGGGACAGCATATACAGAACCTGAGAGGCTGATTGAGTGAGGGGTGGGGGTAGAACATCTAGAGTGACCCTGAGGTTTAAATTGTATGACTGTGCAAATAGTGGAGCCTGTATAGAAAATATAAATGGAGAGTATATGGAATATAAATGGAATACAAATGACTATGTGGCACATAAAATCAGAAATTTCCAGAGAGTTAGTAGACTAGTCACAGGACAGAAGAAAGGAGAAACAGCCTAGATGGATAATAATTCAGAAGCAGAAAGGGAATAGGAGGTATTCAAAGACGCAAGATCATTCTTATGAATATTCTAAATAATAATCACTAATAGATACCAACTACTATATGCTAGGCATCAAACCTCATATTAACCCTATAGGGTAGAAATCATTTTATAAGTGTGGAAACAGGCTCAGAGATGTGAAGTAACTTGCCCAAGGCCATACAGTGCTAATGTAGGTTTTATGATCCCAGAGGAGGTGATCTGTCCCACACATACTGACTCTACTGAGTAAAGCTTACTTGGCGTACTTGGACCAGGGTAAGGCCCACCCTCCATTCCTTTCAGAATTTGGAATAGATTTCATCAACAGACTGAAACAATATCTGCTGGACTTGATATTTCCATTGTGCTCTCAGAGTTGGGAGAAACTTCTGTTCACCTTGTGTTTCTTCCAGGTGTTATTTGATTTGGGTTTTCATTCCCACCATCTACAGTTAGTCAAACCCTTAATTTAATGGGAATGTACAGATTAATGTGTCATGTGGATCAGAGGTTTTCAAAACATGGTCCAGGATCAGCAGCATTAGCCTCAGCTAGGAACCTGTTAGAAAAATTCTTTGGTCCCACCACAGACCTACAGAATCAGGAACTTGGGGTGGTCTGGGGGCTCAAAATTTGTGTTTTAATAGGTGATTCTGATGCTAGTTGAAGTTTGAGAACTTTGTACCAGGTTGTTACAGAATATCATTATATGAAAAGGCACTAATCTGAACTGTGGTAAATACAAATGCATGTCTACTGCCTAATGAAAGAAGAACTGCTAATAAGATTGTTGCATAGGAAAATTTCTAGAAACTACAACATTTGAGGTTGTTTTTTTTAAAAAATGTTAATTCTTACACCATACCACACTGAGTACATGTGCCCTGAGAAAACCACAAAACCACATCAATTACTCTTTTACTTACCACTCTGCATAGCATATGCATGGAGTGAACCTGAATCCCAGATCTCACAGAACTGAACTAACCATAGAATTTTCAGAGAAATTCTATGAATCCCTGGGTTAATCATCAACTCAACTCAGGGTGAATAGAAATATAAGGGCAATTAAGATTTTTTTAAATTAAATTTACCAATGATCACCATGAAATCCAATTAAGGGACAATATTGTTCCTTTTTTCCTTGGCCTCTCATAAAACAAAGAAAAACAAACTTGAGTAGGATACAAAGTACCATAAATTAAATCTTTATTCAGTTCATGTTCATATTCTCTCTCTCTCTCTCCAATAGAGAGGGTTAGAAGAGCTCCCAAGTTCCCAAGTAAGGTTATACATTTGCATATTTTATTAAAACAATGATACTAACAGGGAAGGACCTCACCCTTTTGGGGGGTGGGGGGAGCAGCCATTAGCTTTGTAAAAAGGTGACTATCTATACTTGAAGCTTTCTGGGAGGGAGGGATTTATATGAAAACAAAATACAAAAAATAAAAAACTTCCAGGCCAAAGATGCTCTAAATAACTGGGATTTTTTTTTTTTTTTGCAATTTGTCCAACAAAATGGGCTTAAAAAGCAGCACAACACACCTATGGATGAACTGCATCCTCTCAAGTGTGAAGGGGTCATGGAGAAGCCTCTGAGAGGGGGACATTGTCATCTTTGTATGTGTGGAGGGGTGTCTAACCCCAAAAAGCTGTTTTTGGACCATGCATGGCAGTATATTCCCATGTGACATCTTTCTAGGCTTGTAGCTCCTTGTCATTGTTGGAGTACACAGGCCAGCAGACAGACAAACACCCATCATGACAGAACATGCTACTAACCTGCTCATGAACTTGTACCGGCGGGGCAGGTAATAGATTTTTCTCCTGGAAGAACAGCAAAAATGAAGCCAGTCGAGAAGAAAACCCATCGTCAGTTACAGTTTGAACTAGCAAGGAAGGAAAGGAGATTGAAGATAGAAGCCTGTAAGAGGTGAAGAAGAAAAAACTAAAAAGAGATTAACAGTGAGAAATGTAGTAGGAACATGGGGCATGCGTTTTTGAGTTATGAAATCTTAAGAGGCACTTTCATTGCTCCTTCTCCCTTTCCTTATTACTATAATTATTTTATGGTTGCCTTTTCCCTACAAAACATGTGCACAGAGATGATTTGGAACAGATGCTATTTGCACAGATTTGGCTGAGATCAGCTTTTTTTTCTGGGGAAACACAGAGATGGATACATAATTTAATGGGCACACTGTTGTATTAAATCCATGTTGGTATAGCTTTTAAGTTTATAGAACACTTTACTCATGATTTAGATTGGGGTAATACGAGAAATATATATTTCACAACCAGTATGAGAAGGACACTAATTTATCAGAATCAACACACACTTGAAAATAAAACCACCTGGGGCATACTGACTGACCCCTGGCTCTTGTTAAAGGTGAATTGAGCAGATAAAACCAAGAGATTCTATAAAAACAATTTTAAAAATCAGATTTAGTAAGGATCTCTTATGTTGCTGTATATTTACATTTTTTTTTTAAATCTTAAAAACAATCATTGTGGTTGTAGAGAAGAATATATGTGTTAGATGTGTTATTACAGTAAAATTTCTTTTCAATATTTCAGGCTTCAATTGATGAAGCAGTAATGAAACTGTTGTGGCTTATATGTATTCTGAACTATAACTGAGCTTTTTCAATTTTGGAAGAGGGGAAATTTATATGTTATAAAACATTTGTCATAGTTGTGACAATAACTATAGGGACAATAAAAGGATCAGTGGTTGCCACGGGTTTGGGCCAAGGATGAAGGAAGGAATAGATGAAGTTCAGGAGATTTTTAGGACATTGTTTGCCTTGTTATATTGTAATGGGAGCTACATGGTGGTATGCATGTATCAAAACCCAAAGAACTGTAACAAATGAGTGAACCTTAAACAAACTATGGACTTCAGTTAATAATTAGGAATCAGCATTGGTCCATTAATTGTAACAAATATACTACACGAATATAAGATGATTATAAGGAAATTGTGAGGTGAGGAGGTTTATATGGGTATGTTCTACATTGTATGCTCAATATACTGTAAACCTGTAAGTGCTCTGAAAATAAAGTTTATTAACATTTTTAAGCTATATCCATAGACATAAGTATTTAAGAAGCAGGTATTATTGGCAATTTCCCCTAAGAAGCCAATTCTTCAATTTCTTTTTAAACATTGTTGGGTAAAATATCTAACCTGAGATTCAGAATTATAGTCCTCAGAAAATAATAAAAACAAATACAATTCTCTGGGACACTAAAATTATGTCAAATTGATGTTTGTATATTTTATTGAAATACAGCAGGAAAATTCCTCCTTTGGAAATGCAATTATCTCCTTAGGCTAGAGTTACATATTTGAAACCATGGACAAGATAATAGCAGAAATTTTAAATGCATCATATTGTAACAAATGAAGCTTTGCTTAAGTAAAATCACATCAGTGTTAATGAGGCCAATTAGTGCCACACACATTAACAATATTTTTTTCTAACATTGTTTTTCTTCAGGAATCCTGACATCTACAAGAAAATTATTATTTGCATTCATTTTCAGTTTGTTTGCTTGGATAATATTCTCTTAATGCTGTTTCAGAAAGGTATTCATGCTGCTTAGAGGTGGCACTTTTCTGCTACCTAATGGGCATGCAGAAATTGTTCCTATGATGAGCCAGTCCTTTCAGATGTGAATCCTTGTGGTACTAAGGGTTGCTTTGCACAAACATTGCTCAAGTTTTCATTTTTTTTACATTCTTCATTACAGGAGTGTTTGGCAGAAGGTCTTGTGAAATTTAGACTGAGGAAGGCATTTCAATTTCTGTAAGCTTATTTTGTTGCAGTTTTTTCCCCTTTTGGCTCTTCAGCTAATATGGTATTAATCCATATTAGATAGTTATGATACCATTGATAAATAACTGTATTTAACTATTTTAGTATAGAAGTTTTTAATTTTTTTTCTCAGTGCATGTATGATTTTTAAAAAACTTTTTTGAGTGTAAAGATTTCCTTTTTAACACTTTAAATAGAAAAATAAATCATAAGATCAAAACTATGTCTATCTATTTTGAAAATTTTGCCTCCAGGAAAACAGATGCTAGTCCCAGTCTTTATTCTTACTTGATATTAGGACATAAAGACTAATAAACAATGAGAATAAGATGCATCTGGGAGATGCATTACAGGCCTATAAATGGAAATTGTTCTTCTCTCAACATTTCTTTAGTTTCTCTCTGTCTCTGTGAATATAACTGATTCTTTGTCTCCATAACTTTCCATGATCCATTAAGAGCTATTTGTAAAACTTGTACCAGTTTGCCTAATTCCTGTACATGACTTGGACTTATTGACAAAACGCAACCCAAAGTACTTAACGCAACGCTGGAACTGTCCTTGGTACTGAATTGCTCTTCCTCGTTTAGCAGATTCCATTCTGAATCCCCTCACTGGTACACACATATCTTGGCTTTTAAAATTTCAGGTTTAATATCTTATTTTATTTCCATCTATCAAATGAAAATCAATTTTTTCTTAATCCATAGGGAAAGTAATGATATTCACTGTGAGATGAAGGTAAATAATCCTCTCAAATACCTCTGCAATCCACATAAAGTATATTCTATTTCCCTTGGAACAAATATCCACACTTGTGTTTGCACAGTATTTATGATGTCTTAAATTTAAAAGTAGGTTATTTTTAAAAAATAGATCACATTTTCATGAAATTCCTTGACCTTGTTTATCTGGAAGCAGATTTTAATGTTTTTCTGGAAGGGACTAGTCAGTAAGGAGCATTGCCTAAGTCTGGCTGTTTAAAGCAGCAATTCATAGGAATCCCAGAAGTAGCACTTTTAAAATGAAAATTTCTCTTGGAAAATATTTTTTTTAATCACAGGCACTTGAAATATCCACCTGCCAGGGACTGAATTATCCAGAAATTGTCACCAAAAGCCATGAAATCATTACTGGCCATGAAAACTTATTTGTATTTCCTAAACATTTGAAGGATTTTCTCCTTGAATAACTTTCTAGTCTGCACTTCAGTTTTATTTGTTCTGAGAGAAGAGAATATTAGGTGTACAGTGCAGCAGCAGGAATGGGGGGAAATACATTTACACCTACCTGAAAGGCATCCTTACATTCATTTGTTCTGCATATCTTCCAAGAACTTCCCATGGGGCATGCAACTTCACAAAGATAATGTCACTATTTATTAGAGAGGACTGAAATAGAAAAAAGAATCTAAATTGAAACGCATATCCAAATCTCCCACAGTTTAAATTGAGTCAGAACTCAGAACACATGAACTTGAATGGAGTTTATGATTTGGGGCATTCTTCAGCTTTGAGTCAGCCCCTTAAATGAGCATATATTCATTCAACAAATATCCCACTGTGTCAGGTACTGGAGGCCCAGCTGTGAACAAGAGACAGACAGAAGGCATTTATATTCTACAAAAAGTATTAGAAAAGACGATGGGAAAAGTCAAGTTTAAAAGAAAAATTCAGATAAAGATGGGGGTTCTGAAGATAAAGGACTGAGAGGAAGAGTTATGGGGAGGAGAGCACTTTGGACAAGGAGTCAAGGAAAGGCCTCTCTGTGGAGGTGACCTGTGAGCTGAGACCTAAAGGAATATGGGACACATGTTCTGGGTGCTGAGGGAGTGAGCCAGGGAATTGCTCAGAGTGTCCAAGGGGTAGAAAAGAAAGAAGCATGGCGGCGGTGCACGAGGTAGGGAGAGAAGGGGCAGGAAGAGTGAGAAGAAACAGAGCAGGCAGAACTTCTTAGGCCACTGGGCTATATTTTCAGAACTCAGGGAGTTTCTAAAGTGTTCAAAGATCACTGGAGCTTCTTTATGGAGAATAACTTATAAGGGAGAGTTGTACAGAAAACAAGAGGAGAAAAACTCTCAATCATCCAAGTGAAAGTCAAGTTAGTGGAGGTGGAGATGGAGGGACCAGTGAGACGTGTGATTTGAATCTGGGCTGGAGTCGGATTAGGCAAAGCTTTTGCAAGAGGCTTTTGCTCTTTGGCCCAAAGCGTTTGCCTCCTTTGGGGCTTTTTATCAACACACAATTTGGAAAAGGGAAGTAAACTAGGACTTTATACCCTGATAACCATCCAAGAGGTTTTGGTCTCTGCCCCTGGCAGGAGGGACATGAAGAAACAATTAGGAAATTTCTTTTTTGGTGCCACCAACCAGGGGAAGAGGTGGATTGTGGAAGGAGAAGGAGGCAACAGTGAGCCAAACCAGTTTAGATTACTAAAGTGGCTGCATATTTCTCCAGATCTTTCCCATATAGACCATGAGGCCTATTGGAATAAAGGTCACTTAAATTTTTATAATTTAGGACTGTCATTTTTTTTTTTTGTTTTTTGAATAGTTGACAAAAATAGGTGTTCAACTTTGTGGTCTCACTGGCGCAAATCTGCACTCCAAGGATTTTTTTTTTAAACTGCAGATGATATGCAATTGTAATTCATGTCTAATATTTTAATTCATATTCTTCTTTCTGGGTTTATAAATGTAGTACTTAATTTATACAAGCTAATCAAGATATTATGCAAATCAAACTGGTATCAACTACAGTGTTAGAGACTAGTGTGATGCTGAAATTCCGACGGGTAGAAAAGCCACTGCCCATCTCCATAGTAGTAGTGGGCACCCTCTGATATTGGTCTAAAATCTTTCTGGCTTCAAGCTGAAATGAGGTTTTTACTTTTCAGCTTGGGACAAGTAGTGTACGAATACATCCCTTTTGAGGACAAGAAATGGTCTGTAATTCCAATCCTAGCGCAGTGCCTAATACAGAAGAAACATATACCAATATTTGTATGTAATCCATGAATGTGGTTAGCAAGATGTGAACAGTCAGACCTGGCCCAGGTGAATGCTGTTGAGTCCTGTGAAACAGAAGTGACTGTCACTGAAGCCAACATAACAGGTTATGATGAATGAGGCATCTGCTCAAAAATGGACAAGCCAGCAACAACTGAACCAAGTACTTTGTCTCTGTAAAACTGGTTTTTTGTTCAGTAAATTACTACATTCAATTCTCCTTACACAGGTGCTTCAAGTTAAGTGGTCAAGGGGGCACAAATGAGCTCATGGGCTTCAGCGCCCATAAAGAACATATAAATACACACACACACACACACACACACACACACACGCATGTGCACACACCACCACTGATGCCTTGGTGATCTCCAATGATCCCCTAGCTTAAAAGAAGCATTTGGCTTTGGAAAATACCTAATACACAATTTTCAAAGTTATAAGGCAAAAGGAAGAATAAACAGAAATATATTTCCCCAAAATTGTTTACATTAAATAACAAACAAAAAAGAGTTGTTTTTGTGGCTTCTTCAATTGGAAATTTTAATCAAGGTGGTAGAATTCTTTAAATTCACCTAGGTCTAGAATTTGGATCTGGAATATTCCTTAGAAGCTCCTGTGTTGAAGTTTTTGTCTCTAACATTTGACAAAGTTGGGAGGTAATGGAACCCTTAGGGCATGGGGCCTATTGGAATAAAGTTAGGTCATTGTGTTCTTGAAGGGATCTCTGAGATGCTGGCCCTTCCTGTCTCTCTTTTGCTTTCTGGCTGACATGGAGCAGCTTTGCCCTCCCACTTGCTCCCCCTCATGATGTGCTGCCTCATCATAAGCTCAAAAGCAATAGAATCAACTTTCCATGGGCTGAAACCATGCACCAAAATAAACCCTTCCTTCTTTAAAGCTGATTATCTTAGATATTTTGTCATAGCCACACAAAGCTGACTAACCCACTAGATTTCCTTTAAGTTTTTTTTTCATCTTGCTTTGAAAGAATAAAATTGTGTAACAAAAGAAGACAAAACATAGGAATGTGATTGACTGAAAATCTGACTGATTGAAAAGAAAGCAAACAAACCTGGATATACAGCAGAATAGACTTCTTAGAGTATAATCTCTCCATGGATTTACTGTGACTGCTAGTTCTACAGAAAATAAACATTCTAGTGGAAAAAAATTATCATTTTGGACATTCTCCAAGAATGTATGAAAACATTAAAGAAAATACATTAAAATATTCCACTTAAGGGACATTTTAAATGTCACATTTCCATGTGTGGAAAAGCCAAGTTCATTATCTTGAACACATACTGTGTCAACTAAAATTCTAACGTGGGATCTCCTATTTTCTGCATAAAAGCACACTTTATTTTTATTTATTCAGCCTCACATAAAGAACTTCATTTGCCTTATTCAATAATATTGACAAAAATTATGCCATCATTTTACTTATTTATAGTGCTTTGTAATTGTCAAAGCACTTTCACATGTTGCCTTGCTTTATTCCCAAAGTTGTGAGGAAGGCTTTCCTTCAATGTCTTAGAGGAGGAGAGAGAGACAGGATAAATGACTTGCTTGTGGCCACTCTGAATGTTTGTCCCAGACAGAGATGATTCCACACCCACATGCATTAGTCAGCTTTTTGTAACGGTGACAAATACCTGAGAAAAGCAACTCAGAGGGGGAAGAGAGATTTTTTTTGGCTCACAAGTTTCAGTGCATGGTCATCTGGCTCCACAGCAGAAACACCATGGCAGAAGGGTTTGGTGGAGCAAAACTTCTCACCTCATGACAGCTGGGATGCAGAGGGAGAAGAGGCTGCAGACAAGATCTTTCCTTCCAGAGCACACCCCTAGTGACCTCCTTCCTCCAAGGAGGTCCCACCTACTGGGAAGTTTCACTACCTCCCAATAATGTCATCAATCTATTAATCCACCAATGGATGAGTTCATTGTGAGGTCAGAGCCCAATCACTTCCAATCACTTCCCAAAAGGCCCACCTCTGAACACTGCTGCATTGGGGACCAAGCTTTCAAAACACATGACTTTGAGGGTCATTATATCCAAACCGTAACATCACGTCTTTTGATGGATTTGTGAGTTTTATCTAATAACTTCTGAGATAAGTCTATAAACATGCATTTTAAATGCTTAAATTCTCTGAATTGTTCCATTACCAGATTATATAAACTAATCTTAAGAGAATTTCATATTTTAGAAAACAAATCAACAAAAACAGGGCACTCTTGTAGTACAAAGCAAATTTAAGCTACTCACAAACTGGGATTAGATTGGGGGCTAGTAATTTATTTTTATAATCTTGAGAAAAAAAAGTTAAATGAATTCCCTTGAATGATATGATTCATTATGGGTGTGTGTGTGTGTGTGTGTGTGTGTGTGTGTGTGTGTGTGTGCAGGTGCATACGTAGGCATGTGCACATGGATGCATGCACATACATGTATGGGTGTCCTTTTTACATGTGTGTGGGAAAAATTTAAGGTGTGGAGCTTATTATTCATACTAAAAATTTCAAGGAGGAACTGAGAAGGTATGGTCTATTGCTTGTTACTGCACACTGTCTGAACTTCAGCCCTGAAAAATAAATGTAAAACAGATGATTACTAATTACATGGCCCATGTATCATTTTTTTCTTTACTGCTAAATGATTACACTGCTGTTTCTAAATAGGTCTTTTCTTGCTGTTAAGAATCCCTTTCCACATAAATCCAAGTGTGCAAGTGCCAAAGTGAAGAGAAATAAAAATCACTTTTATGAAACACAAAGCTATTTCATTAACATACTGCAATAAAAGTCCTTTAGGTTAGAACACTGGGAAAAGAAAAATGACAATTTAGTGAAGTTTGGAAAAAATATGCAAAGACTAATGGGTAGAGAAATTTACAAATAGCTTGGAAACTATCTGAAACAAAATATTTCCTCTTTCTTTAATTCAACAAGAATATATTGACACCTTCTATGTGCTACATGCTAGAAATACAAAGTTATATAAATCACAGTCCTCACCTTGATATGTAACAATTTCATAAAGAAAGGTTAGATAAGACAATAATTTGAAAAGAGAAAAAATGGCACACCATAAGCAAATCAAACCAATTAAAAGATTATATATATATATATATAGTGTGTGTGTGTGTGTGTGTGTGTGTGTATGAATCATGAAATCACATTTTACACTCGTGGTTTCCTGATTTTTGGAACCATACATTGAGAACAGGAAATTGAGGGAGACTGAGTTTGGGAACGGAGGTAAGGAGGCCGATCATGAACCCAAGTTTGAAAATGTTAAAAATTTCAATGAGAAGATATCATGCAGTAGTTTAATAAATGAGTCTGCAGCAGTCTGGGACAGAGATACAAAGTAAGT